GAAGTTAAACACCTCGAGGAACTTGATCGACGTCGGTAAAAGAGATTTTTCTAAATGCCTACGTTGCCGACTTTCGTATTTATATCGACAGCTGTGTCGAATTATATTGGCTGCGCGAGATGGACCCATCCCCATATAATTACATCATTTCGTGCACTTGCTCATTTAGACACATCTAGGTCTGCAGAAAGGACACCTGATAGACAGGTGAAAAAGTGCTCCACCACGTCCAGATCAATCAGAGAAAGTTCCCTGACAAGAAGTAATAGGTAAAAGTACTCGAAGGAACCTATTTCAGTAAACCACAACAAGGTCCACTTGCACTTGCCCATTTGGACATATTTAAGTCTGCAGAAAGGACACCCAAAAGTCAGGTGAAAAAGTGCTCCACCACGTCCGGATCAATCAGAGAAAGTTCCCTGAGAAGAAGGAATAGGTAAAAGTACTCGAAGGAACATATTTCAGTAGACCACAACATCATCCATTTGCACTTGCCCATTTGGACACATCTAGGTCTGCAGAAAGGACCCCCAAAAGTCAGGTGAAGAAGTGCTCCACCCATAGAGAATGTCCCAGACAAGAAGTAATAGGTCCAAGTACCTAAAGGAACATATATCGGTAGACCACAACATCATCCATTTGCACTTGCCCATTTGGACACATCTAGGTCTGCAGAAAGGACCCCCAAAAGTCAGGTGAAGAAGTGCTCCACCACGTCCGGATCAATCAGTACATGGAAAATGTCCCCAGACAAGAAGTAATAGGTCCAAGTACCTAAAGGAACACATATCGGTAGACCACAACATCATCCATTTGCACTTGCCCATTTGGACACATCTAAGTCTGCAGAAAGGACCCCCAAAAGTCAGGTGAAGAAGTCCTCCACCACGTCCGGATCAATCAGTACATAGAGAATTTCCCAGACAAGAAGTAATAGATCCAAGTACCTAAAGTAACACATATCGGTAGACCAGAGCAACGTCCATTTCTCAATTTACCTACTTAGAGGAATCGGGTCCGATTTCGCAGGAAGGACAACGAAACGTCAAGCGGAAAGGCGACACGCGTAGTTGGGTGCATCTCCTGTAATGCAGCCGCGATGCACGGCATTCGGTTAGGGCCGAGCCATAAATCTTAACCAGAGCACGAGTTTTGTCTGCGGGACTAAACGACTAAATAAGTGTTCCAATTTCAAAATTACCCGCTAAACGATTTGTGAGCTGGGAGGAAATATATCGTTGACATGTGGGCAAAGCCCCTCGGGTCAACCTGACAGTTCTCGGAACTTGAGCATCTCCGAGGGTGCCCAGAGACAAATGACTGTCGCTCGAGAGAAGACGCTCTGCTCCCTCCTGCTTGGATCGCGCCACTCCTTTTTTCGCTTGAGATTTTAACGTTTCTTTGCCGACCAGCCGAACCTCCTGATTTACCCCTTTCCGCGGTCCTTTGACAAAATCCTGACGGATTGACGAGCTCATCGTGCCCTATTCCAAGATTAAGGGATTAGGAAGGTGATCCGAGGGTCTGGGTGCTGTTCTGGTCCATATTCGGTGTTTTGTATGATACAGCGCCGTGGTACCCAAAAATTGTATGATTGGATCCGTAAGACAGGAAGCTGTGACATGTCAAATGTCTTATCAAAAGATTTGGGCACTTATCAGGCAATCCCAATAACTGGAAGAGGTCCGGTGTTTGTAGGCTTTGTTGATGAACACTGCAACATTGCTTATTGACGATCTGGGGTCCGTGGGGCTTTATGGATGAACTCTTTGGTAGGGTTCATTGATGTTGAGCGACAGGGACCCTAAGTTACGAAAATCTGAATCAATAAACATGTCAGCAAGGGCGTTAGGCACTCATCGGACAATCCCAACAGCTGATTGATGCACTTCCGATAAATGTTCGGTGTTTGTAGGCTTTTGTTGAGGTTCGCTTGAATGATAGGATTCCCAAGATACGGAATCCGTGAACATGAAACGTTCCAACAAGAGATTTCGACCCTGATCTAGACTCAACGCCTGGTTAACTCTGTTCTAACCAGGGTTAAATGTATTCAGGGTTTTTTTTTCTGGACACAACAACAAGGAGAGAGAACGGGTCCAGAAGCAGCTTCTAGGGGAGCCAGGTGTGAAGACCACTTTCGCTATCTCGAAGGCTATTTAATCTCTTCTTGGGTCCGAGATTTTCTGTTAATCCCATATCACGTCAGTGACAGGGGATTAAGAGAAAAGTTCCCTCGTTAGTCAATCCGATGTCGATGGGGATCATCTTCAGGAGTGAAGGGCCGTCGAAACCCACTGATCTGATCTGAAACTTGTCTTCCGACAAAGTGTCATGTTCGGATCGTTTCGTTTCTTTCAATCTACACTTTACGATACATCGGTACACCAACAGAGTGGTCTAGGGTGGAACAGGGTGTCGGAAAGCACCCTAACTTTCCACCAACCCCATAGGGAGACGAGGGGAACTGGGCACGAGCTGGGGACCACTTTTGGGGATCATCATTGCGATTCAGTGAGCAAATCCCTAAAGGTCATTTAAGCCATTCTTCGCCCGGGACTTTTACTTAATTCCCTGTCATGTTGACAGTTCCCTCGTTAATCAATCCGTGCCCGTGGCGTTTATTTGCTGGAATCGAATTTAGATCGCCTGGATGACCAAAACTTATTTTAGACGTCTGGTCCTGCGAAATGCCCATTTAGGGGGACATTACCTCAAGGGGGAAATCACCGAGATTTGGCCACTGTACATGTTGAATTATTGACAGTGCTGATGACACATTTAGTTCATTCGAAGCCTTCTCGTCATTTATTAAGCATTGAAAGGGAGCACTTTTTCAAGATTACTTAATCCACTTGATTCACACTGCATGTTTGAATTTTTACTTACTTCTCAAAATGCGATCTCTTGAAAATGAACATCGGGCCAAACCAAGAAGAATAATGAAATTTAATTGATCGACCTCGATTAAATTTCTCAGCGCCTTTCATATAATTCTGAAGGGGGATGTGACATTTTTTAAAATTTCTTTATAGACGTTTACGAACTTTTGTATTAAAAAGAAGTAAAATGAAATTCAATTGACCGACCTCGATTAAATTTCTCAGCGCCTTTCATATCACCTTAAAGGGGATGTGACATTTTTTTAAATTACTTTATAGACGTTTACGAAATTTTGTATTAAAAAAAAAAATGAAATTCAATTGACCGACCTCGATTAAATTTCTCACCGCCTTTCATATCATCTTAAGGGGGATGTGAAATTTTTAAAAATTACTTTATAGACATTTACGAAATTTTGTATTAAAAAAAAGAAAAATGAAATTTCACGAGTGTCGGGGCAGTTCCTTATATCCTCGATGTTCATAATGTAAGGTATGAAACGATTCGATATACTCAGCTCGAAGGATTGAGCTTTCGGATGGCACTTTGACCTCCCCTTAATTTCTTCAAATTAGCGATTTCAGATGTGTCAAGTTGAAATGTGCAAAAATAATCGATTTCCAGAAAAGATCTGGGATCTCTAGAAGGGCAGTTTAAACCCTAGCAGAGCCCTTTTAAGGGGTCCGACTTCTTCCACTCGGTTTTCCCCTCGTCGCTTACGACATTCTTCCACGAAGCCTAACCCTCCGCTTTTTAGTCCGCCCAATTTAAGTGAAATTTCCTCGAGTGTGAAGGTTCGCGCAGTCTGCGATCGGTAGAAACGATCGAGATTTTTACGGGACCCCGGCGAGAAAACAACTGTGGAAATTGTGGGAGTGAATTTTTGCGAGGTCGCTAGGCCGTTTGGAAATAATTGGGCCGAAAAAGGGACAAAGGTTCGATGAGTTGCGGACAAAGTAGCCCGGTCGCTCGCCGATCAAAGGATGCCGCCATCGGTTACACCTGCAGACCGAAGTACAGCCCAGGGCAAAACTTTTCCCCTTTCCCGAGCTTATCGATTGCCCCCTGGCCCTCCGGCCCTCCCTCCCTCCTTGCCGGAATTTTCTCCATCGGAAGTCGGCCCTTCGTCGGGCCCGTCAATGGCCCCTTTTCCCTCCTCTCTTTCGGCATTCCTTCCAAGGGACTCCTTTTCCTAACTTTCCCCTCCGAGTGTCCCCGAAGCGTTAATGTGCACGCAATATGCACGCAATATGCACCGCGTTTCTGGGATGAGCGGAGGATCCGCGCGTAATGGGCCCCTGAAAGCGGGATGTTCATCGACCTGGGCATCGTTGATAAGTGGGGAACACGATACAGATGTTCCTATGGAAAATGGCCTTCGAATTGTTTCTGCGATTTTTTTTTCCATTTTGTGATTTTATTGATGAGGTAGTTCAAATGAATCCCTGGGAACGAATGTTCATATGACTTGAGCATCGTTGATCAGTAGGGAACACGATACAGATGTTCCTTTTGAAAATGGCCTTCGAATTGTTTCTGCGATTTTTTTTTTATTTTGTGATTTTATTGATGAGGTAGTTCAAATGAATCCCTGGGAACGAATGTTCATATGACTTGAGCATTGTTGATCAGTGGGGAACACGATACAGATGTTCCTATGGAAAATGGCCTTCGAATTGTTTCTGCGATTTTTTTTTCAATTTTGTGATTTTATTGATGAGATTGTTCAAATCAATCCCTGATAGCGGGATGTTCATCGACCTGGGCATCGTTGATCAGCGGGGAACACGATACAGATGTTCCTATGGAAAATGGCCTTCGAATTGTTTCTGCGATTTTTTTTCAATTCTGTGATATTCCTGATGAGATTGTTCAAATCTATCATACAATGACGTTTGGTAGAAATCATTCGTTCCATGTGCCATTGTAGACTGTGACGTTTCCAAGACGTCGAGAACTGCCTCCGGGCAAATTAAATAGTATTTTTCGGACGCACCAAATTCCGTATTATTTGTATACCAAGGGGTTAAACAAGCCAGATTTCCTCTTAAAAGCTTACCATTCCCCCCGTTCCGATTGACAATAAATAAAACCGGCCGATATATTCTTTGTTGCAGAACAAGCGAACCACCTGAACCTGTTCAACAACCGGCAGCAGCCTAAGAAGAAACGCAAGAGTCGAACGGCGTTCACGAACCAGCAGATCTTCGAGCTGGAGAAGCGATTCCTGTACCAGAAGTACCTCAGCCCAGCAGACAGGGATGAGATCGCTGCCCAGCTGGGTCTCAGTAACGCCCAAGTGATCACCTGGTTCCAGAACAGGAGGGCGAAGCTAAAGAGGGACATGGAAGAGCTGAAGAAGGACGTCCAGACGGTGAACCCGTTGCTGGTGGCGCAGCACCACAAGACCTTTTTAGAGAACGTCCAGGACTTGGGCATCTTGAAGAAGAGGCCCCTGCCGAGTGCAATGGAAGAAAAGTCCTAGAGGACCTGGCCCATCGTCCAATGGGCGGATTGATTGATTCCCTAATCGCTGGTCTCGCTTGTGCACCAGCGACTAGTGTTGGGCTAGCCGGCTCCTTTTTGGGTAGAGTCGCACGCGGTATTCCTGAACGGAAGACTGTACAGGGGCTGTGAGACTTCATGTCGATGTCATGAGTACCGATCGAAATATGAGAGGCTTGCGAGTGTCTCGAGCGACATTTGCTATCGTGCCAAAAGTATCGTCCAATGATCCTGTACGTACAATTCCTGTGATGACGGCCACCGTGCAAGGACTTGGTTACGACCGCCTCGTTGTTTTAGGGACTGCGGCGAACTTCATATCGGAACACAAAAGTGGGCATTTTTCTCGAAAACCTCAATCTACAAGTCTTGAAAAGTCGAATGAAACTTTTCCCAGCTCTTTAGCTGCAAAATTGAGGGTTCCAGGAATTTTGCAAACGTCGTGAGGATGTCGACGCGTCGCGTCCGCGGCGAACTTCATATCGGAACACAAAAGTGGGCATTTTTCTCGAAAACCTCAATCTACAAGTCTTGAGAAGTCGAATGAAACTTTTCCCAGCTCTCTAGCTGGAAAATTGAGCGATTTATGGATTTTCGAAGCGCGGCTGTGGCGTCGCTGCGAACTTCGCGCCGAAACACGAGAGTGGGCGTGGCCAAGCTGCGCGCGCAACGCGGCCACATTCGGGCAGCTCGCTCGGAGTTTTCCCGCTGTAACTTCCTCAGTTTTTGGAATATCGACCCGCGGTTTTCGGCAAAATTCCCATAAAAATTCGGGCTACAATCTAGGCGGGAGAAAACTCGTCCTCCCCTCGAAGCAGGTCCCGGAGCTCCCGAGCTGCGCGAGTCTTAATCGAAACCGGAGAATGTGTACGATAATTGTCGACTCTTGCCATTTTAGAATACCGTTGTGTACGATAGTGCCATCGCGTTACCGCTGGCAATTCCACGTTCGCATATTTACACCAAGGGCCTGCAATCGTATAGAGACGCCATAATCAAGGCTTAATCGAAAGGTGGTTACACGAGGTAGCGTAAGGAGATACAACTCATGTATTGAAGTCGCCCTCACTATTAGTGTTCCAAAATCTTTTCAGACTTTTTTTTCCGATCTAGTGCCGAGAGCGCCTCCTCGATGAAATTTTGCAATTAAAAGTTATCCTCTGCTAGCTGATCCGCTGGTCTTTATCGCGTTAAAATGCAAAATGATATGCATTTACGTCGGTAAGGAAATGTTTGGGTCCGTAGGATTGGAGTTCCCTCGTTTCCCGCAAGTGGCGCTCGCGTCGTTCGATCAGCGAAAATCTGAGATTCTGGGGCCACTTTTTGAGGAACATTCGCATTGTCTCTTTATTCTACTTCAAGGGCGGTTAGTACTTCAGCCCAGATTTCGTTATATTTATTCTTAGTGCGGCGTTAGATAAGTAGAATTTCTTATCGGTCCGCAGTAGGCTGTAAGCTCTATGCGGAGAGAAATACCTATACTTAGTGCTATGAGAAAATTGATATTTTGGAGGTTAGGTCGTCGAGGAAGGACGTCGGGGTGCGGTTTGGTTTCTCATCTGCGAAGTCCGAAATCTCCTCATCAACGTCTTATCAACTATTGGAGGGATTCTACACTGATAAGAAATACTCATTGAACCAAGGAAATATTTTCATAACTCAAGGAGTAATTATTTCACTCGAATAAACTGGAATAAATTCTATGGAATGTCTCTTTGGAATTATGACAATTTTTCAGTCTAATAATTATACCTTGAATTTGGAATAATATTTCTTCGGTATTGTCAGAAGAAATATTTCTTCGGTTTAATGATCATTTCTTTACAGTGTCGGGGATGACGAGATGTACTTTAGATCATTGTTGACATGTATTCATACACGAAAAGGCGAGCGTATTCGTAGTCCTATAGCGAAATATTATTTAAAAGTGTAAATAAATTTTATTACATAGAAATGTCTAGTAAGAGTAACAAAGTATCATTATCAAATCGTGTTCTTGGTCGGGCGCGGCTTTTGAAAAAAGTGAACGACCGAGACTTATTATGTTAAATGACATAATATCCTGACAAAAAGGATTAACTCGGCGCTATCTTAGATTTTAATGCCCATGGATTTCTTTTCAATAAATCAATACAACGGAATTCTTTCCAATTAATCTTTTATTGTTAATTATATTTCTTCAGAAAATTCACTACCGTGAAATGTAATTATTATCCGAGGGGAAGAATTTCTTACGTATTACTTTTTCTGTATAAATATTTCTTATCGATCTTACTGTTTATCAATTTCCGGGGTGTTATCACGGGTCAAAGATATACGCCGAGATTATTTCTTTTTTGTCGACAGAGATCTATTTCGCACTGTCGCTGTTTAAGTGGGTTTCGTCTTTACCTCTTGTTCATTGTAAATTTAATTGTTGCAGCCTGGCACCTAGTTGTCGATTAAATTAATGGCAAACAATCTGCAGAGGATGAGAGTCAAGATTTTCGGCCTGTAAACAATAGACTCGGTGTTGTAGAGTACGGAAATTATATCGGAAAATTATACGTACGAATTTTTGCCGTGAACCGAGATTGGCAGAATTTTTGTATATAGAATTGAAATAATGGGAAGCATTGTAACGAGTTATTGTCGATTAAATTAATGGCAAACAGTTTGCAGAGGATGAGAGCCAAGATTTTCGGCCTGTAAACAATAGACTCGGTGTTGTAGAGTACGGAAATTATATCGGAAAATTATACATACGAATTTTTGCCGTGAACCGAAATTGGCAGGATTTTTGTATATAGAATGGAAATAATGGGAAGCATTGTAACGAGTTCTTGTAAAGACGAGTTAAAATGGCTCCTTGAATTACGTCTCGAGTGAAACAACTTTCGGTAAATGATGTTTCATATTTCCTGTAAGAAATACGCTTTTACATTAAATCGATGGGCAGCTAAATTGTGTAATTCCAGAGAAATAAACCTACCCCTGTTACTAACTGCTGTTTACTTTCACTCTTCGCCAATAAAAACGACATTTCTCGTAGGAAATATTAGTAATATCGATATTTCCATAATTTCATTACTCCTGTCCCTTGTTTACGAATTTTTGTCCTCACCTCCTTTCACAACTTTCCATCTTTCATTGGTATGAACATTAATTTTCTTCGAGGCCTTGCAAATTATGGTAATTCGCCCAGGTAAGGTTTTTTTAACATTTACTGAAAATGATAACATTAAAGTCGATAACAAATCCAGGATCTTCAGTCAATTTAAAAAGACCCTTGAGAATATTCGAAATTTCACCTATGAAATTTATAGGTTATATTTGTTAATTAATTTATTTCTCAAGAGGGGAACAATTGCCCGGATATGTATCTTTATCACCTCTTTGTCAATGGATTTCAAGGTTCAAGAAGTGCATAAAATCTCCCCCCGTGTAACCGGTTAATTAATTTACGCACTTCCTACGATTCAGACGTTCGAGTAAGGGCTGTACAAATTAATTAATGGCTTATTGAATATTCATCGAGTTAATAGATTCCGAACTGCGCATTCACGTAAAGGCATTCATCGAATACAAACGTGCTATTTCGTGGTAGAGGGTCTGAAGGATATCCGGCAAAGTGGTCACAAGTCTTACCTATCTAAATTTTGTTAACAACACGTGTTTACATTAAAACACTGGAATACTTAAAAAATTACTTAAAAAATTAATGAGCAATTGCAGAAGCAGAAAGGAGGCGTCGAAAGGGTTGTTACTCCATCTTGGAATGATTCAGTTGGCATCACCAAGAAAAACGTTTTACATTGAATATTTTCAAATTACAATGAATTTTGTTAACGATACGTGTTTGCGTTGAAATTCTGGAATACTTAAAGAATAACTTAAATTATTAGGAATTAATTGCAGAGGTAGAAAGGAGGCGTCGAAAGGGTTGTTACTCCATCTTGGAATGATTCAGTTGGCATCACCAAGAAAAACATTTTACATCGGCAATTTTCAAATTACAATGAATTTTATTAATGACATNAGAAATTGGGACCTTTTATTTTTTTCCCTTGAAATTTACATCATTGAATTTTCGTTATGTATGATTTGGGGATTCTTTTAAAATGCGATTAGTAATACTAAAAATAGGTATCTAGTGTCAGAGAACTAATTGGACATGAGGTAAGGTTGCTAAAAATTGGGACCTTTTATTTTTTTCGAGATAATCGACTAATGTTATGGATTCGCAAGAGTGGATATTTATCTAAAAAGTTCCAATAAATCCTACAAAACGACTAATTCTAAAACATTGTACAATTCCACCAACGGTTCAACACCATTTTACAGACGTTTAGTTTCTACCAAAAATAATACCATAGATTTACCTTAGTAGATACATAATAAAGTATTAGCCTAAAAAAAGATTAGTTACTAATTCGCCTAACTTTTAAAATTCTATTATTCATGAATAGCACCCCTTGGAATTCCCTTCCGAAGTCGAAATATTACCATATGACATAGATTACTAATAAAAAAAATAACTAGTTCAGGCTAAAGTTGAAGAATTAATTAGTACATCCGCTCAATAATCATTTAAGCGGGGCGGACATTTTCTCATAACAGATTATACGATGCAAGTAATTTCGTTAATTTCATAACTAGCATGCGATAATTCGCAGCGCAGCAACCGGTTGACTAACTCGTCGGGAATAATTAACGAACCGAATAAATCTAACCCGTTAACTGGCAATATTGTTAATCCTAACACTAGCGGGAATCTTTCCGCCAAGTTAAACTTTGTAAGTGATGTACGACGCGCGATCGATAAGGATCCACGCGAGCATTAATTGCCTCTTGTAATTTGCAGATTACAAATAACGCATTGCTTCGTCGGATACATGCGAGTAGGTGTGTCACTAACTGCATGTTGCACGGTGCACTATAAATTCTGCACCCTTATGTGCAGACAACAGTGTTGCATACTTCAACATCCAGTAAATAGAC